TACATAATGCACATTACAAATAGCCAAATGACTCAGTAATGATACCAAAGTTTATTACATCAAACCATGATGACCAATTGATTCAACATGTGATATGTAAATATCTAAAGAATTTCAAAATACCAGACAATATGTTTGCTGGATAATTAATACTGGAGAGTTTCAATAACCCTAAACTAACCCTTCCAATAAATACAATAACACTGAATTCCTATACAGTTCAGAGTCTTTTGATGACAACAGCCACAGGAAAAATATATAAGCCGATTTACTTACGTTTTTGAATGAAAATATATATCACCCCATAATCTCTTTGAAAATTCCAGATAATTGACGCCACCATAGGTGTTCTCGTAGAGCTTTGCAAATGACGCCAGTGTAAAACAAAATGCATACTGTGAACTGGCAAAGCAGACGTTACCCAGTAATGGTGACACTTGGTACTCGTTGTCAGTTTCGGAGTATGTACTGAAACAAACAAACAAACAAAATTTGATCAAAAAATTGTAAAACATTCTGGCAATTCACTTATTTACATGCATTACATGGATATCACAGACTTGACGATTAGATAGAAATCAGCAATCAGAGTAAAATTTGCTAATCACTAGATGTGGAATTATTAAAAAGCTCTGAGCATCATTTACGTTACTGCAGAGGACCACTGATGAAAATAAAAGGCATTTTGAAATTAATGGGAAATCAGTTGTATTTGTTAGCACAATTTCTATTATAGTGATACAGTGTTAATATCACAGAGCCTTGTCAGATTCAGGTAGTTATAGTGATACCAAAGTTGTTCTAATAGAAGTGCATGTTTTGTAAATACTAGTGGTCTGTTAACAGGTTAGCATAAATGGATCGTTGAGTTCAGTGAACCAGATTAGCTCTATTAATAGCATGTTCTGTGGTCATATTTTAATTATCCGGTATACAATAAATGCAACTGCTTCTATTATACACTACCAGGTATATCTACTATATCCCTGGTTACGAAGAGTTCTCTCTCACCTTAACAAAGCATTCACTTCATCCACAATATGTCTTAATTTATAATATGCATCAGTGGGTGGTAACTTCAATTCTAACATCAGTCTATCTATTTTATTAATACATATACACACAGCTATGCCTTCTTGCACGGCATGTTTTATGAGGCGTTCTGTGTTAAGCATTACTCCTTCTGCAGCATCCACAAAGATGATGGCACCATCCGAAAGTCGAAATGCAGCGGTTGCTTCATCAGAGAAATTCACATGACCTAAATGAAAGGGTGAGAAAAGTTAATCCTAAATGACACAACAGATTTTCCTGTTAGTATTTTGTCCATTTCATGTCAAATGTATGGTACATAAATTCCATTTACAAACACATCTTACAAATAAAATGCACGTTTATTTTGTGAAAGTTGACAAAAGTTGACTCGGAGTTCAAAGGACGAAAGAAACAAATTACCTGGAGTGTCGAAAACATTCATCAGATAAGATTTTTCACGAGTGTCTTGAAGTACTAAAGTAACTGGAGTAGCTTTTATACTCACACCTCTCTACATAACAAGAAAAGTGAAAATATTCTTATTAATATCTGTTTTTACTTTGACAAAAGAAAAGATTTAGTCAACAGCCGTCAGAAATGGTTGCGAGTAAAGTCATGATATATACAATGTTACAATATTAATATTATATTTTGTGTGTGCCTACTTGTAATTAACATGTAAGTACATTATCAATGCTAGTATTAAAAGTATTACGAGATAATATCAATATTTTGTGAATGGTACTTACCTCAACTTCTGTGAAGAGGGTATCACAGTATCTCAACTATAATTTAAATATAAAAAATATAAATCAAGTTTGGCATCAAGCATACTTGCCAATTGTAAAAGTCTCAAACACTTTTATAAATTCACTTATTTGGTAAAACAGTTAACATATAGTGGAACGCAGACACTGTTAGGAAATATATATGGATTCACAATACAATTAAAACTAGGGCATCTGCTAAGGTTTCAATTAAAGGGGGGGAGTCGTCACCTGCGCATGCGTCAGATGGCCATAGTGTGTCATTGTTTACAAACAAGCGTCTACCCATGAGCCTTTGCATTTGTAGCGTGTGTTGTAATCAACGCTTGGGACTTAATTCCCACGCATGCGCAGGTGACAACCCTGCCGGTTTAAAGAAAAAAATAAATATCATGTCTTTTGAAAATGAACAATCTTGATTATGTAAATATTTATGTATACCCAAAGAGTTTAAAATTATTCTATTGATGTCATGAAAAGAATAAATGATTAATCTGTGTAGATGAGTACTCACTCTTTTGTCTTCCTTAGTACGCAACTCTGGATGTGTTTGTTCCAATAGACAATCAACAAATGCAGTCTGAAATATACACAACATCATCATATTGGGTTTGAGCCATATGGCAAGACTTTTGAAAGTATGCTCTTATACCTCAGATATTCTAATTTAGGTGTCATTTTTGAAACATTTAAATTATTTCTGTCCATTTTCCATCTTTGGTAGACACTGAAGCCTATTCAGAAACATGTACAGTGTTTATTGAGACTAGCATGAATCAGTGAACTGCATTTTTAGAATGTCCTGGTCTCAGAATAAAAGCAGGGCTTCAATTATGGAGTTGTAGTCCATTTTCATAGCATATAAGAATTATACAGCGAATATCTGTATTTTTGGAAGGCCATTTTTCCATCAAAATCACTGCCAGAAAGTCACACAGAAATTACTAGAGAATTTTTGTTTTGTTTTGTAGACCTCTTACATTGAGACTAATACTATAATACATGTATTAGGTGATGCATGTTTTTTTTTCATTAACAATTTATGAACTGTTTTTCGTTAACAACAAAATTAACTATCATGAAGAAATATTTTGTTTATGAACTGTAAAATTTCAATTGCTCAGACACCTATTTGGGAGCAAATGATGGCCAGACACTCCCGCCTGACACCAAATGTCTGACACCTAAATTGGGATACACATATGGTACAACTTTTTTTTCTATATGTGTTGTTCAAATCAAGTGTATACTCACTTTACCATGGTGTAAGTGACCAGCAAGTGTAACATTACGAATCAACTCTGCATTGTCCATCAGGTCTGCTAAATATCTATATGGAGAAAACAATGTATCCAAGATTGTGATTATTTATGAGTATAGCATACAATCTGATTAAAATCTGATGTAGTGTACGGGCTTAAATTATTTTGGCTATAAATTTATTTTAATTTTTTTTTTTTTACTTTTGTTATTAACGCCTTTTTTTTTTTAGTATTTTACTTTGATTTTGATTTTGTGATATTTTTTTTAATTCCGCCCTACATACATCTGATCCGACGTCTATGTAAGTCCCGTTCAAATCTCGCGTAAGTAACAGCCAATCACAGCCAATCACGCCCCCCCTTTATACAGGCTATCGGTT